ATAGATGCTTAGTGCTTGCTGCAGCTCCACCTCATTACCTTTTCCTACACATAAGTTTAAATAGTCTTGATCTCACGGGTGTGAGATTGCTGAGTCCTCGTGACTCACAGATACTTCAAAACAGTTGTAGGTGCCGATGATACCAGTGCAGATTATGCAACTGAGCTCAAGTGGGAGCTCGATGAAGATCGTGTTCGTTGTGTTGTTTCGTTTCCAGTTGATCAGTAGTGGAGCCCAGTTGGGACGATCGGGGATCTAGCATTTGGGGTTGTCTTTCTTTTATTTTGGTTCCTTAGTCGGACCTTGATTGTATTCTGGATGATGTATGATGTTTATGTATTGTTTGAAGTGGCAATTGTAAGCCAACTCTGTATCCCTTTCTTATTCAATACATGGGATGTGTAAAGATTACCCCTCTTGCGACATGCCTACCATGGGGTTATGCCTCTAAGTCGTGCTCCGACACGTGGGAGATATAGCCGCATCGTGGGTGTTACAAGTTGGTAATCAGAGTCATCCCCTGACTTAGGAGCCCCCTGCTTGATCGAATCGCTGACGTTGTTGAGTCTAGAAAAAATGTTTTGAGTCTTAGGACTATATATATCGGAGAGTATGATTCTTTTTACTCCTCAGTCCCTTCGTCGCTCTGGTGAGGCCTCCTGACGTAGAAGTTTTGACTTTTCTCTCCTCAAATTTCACGAAAAAAATTGAGGATCACGCGGGTATCTTGGTGACGAGAACATTGTTCTTGATGCCTCCTGACATTTAGGGGTTGTGGCAGTGTCCCAGGGAGTTGAGCTCCGAGGTGTTGTCGTCACAATTTTATCATTGCAGTTCTGGAATACCTGAGTTCGCCAACATCGAAAATCTCTTTTATGCAGTTGTTGGTGAGATAACCTCGATGCCACTCAGTACTGGGGCGGCAGTTTGGGATTATTACCATAAGTCGTATAGCGGATGCTTTTCGAAGGTTGAGGTAAATGATTTCCGAAGGTTTCTTGGTTATGTGTTCAAGGATGGATACAGCTAGATGTAGGATTTGCTAGTTTTGGGTGAGATATTATGCTTCCCCTGTATCCCCAACACCTGATTGCATAACCAGAAAGTTTTGGGAGTTTATAAGTGGGAATTCAAGTAGCTCTTAGGATATGTTTTCGATAGATGAATGATATGAGATTGGGGTTCGACGTCTAGTGGTCCGCCTATCCACGGTTGGTTTTACAGTGGTCTCGTTGTGTCTTAAAGAGTCCTCGGCTATGCTGACCCAGGGACGCTTTGTATGTCATGTGCACTGCCTTGTACATGATGGTGCTGTACGATCGAGCCCGTGTGGGCCCCACCACATAAACTTCGGACGAAATCTCTATCATATGTTTGTTCCGGCTTTTTCTGCAAGCCAATCCTTTTTTTTGTTTTGGCTTATGGTATTCGAGTTGCTTCAATGTCATGTGTTGATTCCATATTTTTTTCCTAAGCGGTATTCTCATACTCCTATGTGAATACCAATCCTTCTTGATCATCAAGATTGTCATGTCAATTCTTTCCAACCGGTGTGTTTCTCTTAAAGTGGATCTAATCATTTCAACATCTGCAAGACCACCTCTCGGTTTTCCCAACGTTGTTTGTTTCATCTGTCCCCAAGTTGCCTTTATTTTTCTCGCCATCCCACCCTTTTTTTCTACAAGGACTCATATATCTTAATCAAGTATCCATTTTATGGATGTGAAGTCTCTCCATTCTTTTTCGTCAATGTCCTTAGCCGGTGATTCTTCTTGAAGATACTAAGGAAGCTTAAAGTTCATCATTCTCCATTCTTTTCTTCTCCGGTGATTTCAAATCAAGCTTTCGGTGTTGATCTTATTCTTTTCTCGTTTGAAATGTTTTCCCATGCCGGTGCACCTCATAATCATTCCCCGCTTGCTATTCATTTGTTCCGGAGCACTGAAGATATCTCAGGAGATTCGTGTTTTCATTCCTTATCTGTTCAAGATATCTCGAGGCTGTTATCTATTTCAAGCCATCGGTGCAACATCTTTCAAGTAATCGTTCAACGGTGATTGTCTTGAGTGGGCCCTAACCAACAGGTCTTTTCCCAGGATCTTACCTGACTCTTCTTATTTTCTTGGAGTTACTCTCAAATTCTTTTCCAAGTTTGATGTAAGAATGAATTGTCATCAGTCATATGTCTTTCTCCAAGATCTTTCAAATTCTTTTCATCATTGGTTCAACCTTTCTAATTTTCATCTCGGAGTATCTCAACAATTCATGATGGTGTTTCTCATCATCATTCTCAACATTTGAAGACCAAAGAAGATTTTTCTCTCAATCTTGCTCCATTCTCTTTAAGATTCATGGTTCTAGCTTGTTGACATCCTCTCATAATTATTTTCGATTGTGAGAATTCTTTTCACCCTTCCGGAGCAAATCAGGAGCCTTTTCAGTTTGATTCTTCGGAGCCCGTTATCTCAGAATTATTCATTCTAGCTTTCAGCTCCCGTTCTCCAAATCTTACTGGTGGATCGTTCAAATATTCTCTAATCAATTCATGATCTCTTCGTTCTCTTGCATCTAAATTCTCTCAAGTATCTACTTTCGTTTTCCAATTCTTCCCGGTGAATTGTGCCTTTGCTACGTTCATTTTCAATTCTTACGGTGGTTCGTTCAAGATTCCTCTTCCTATGTTCTCATATCAATGCATTCGTGCTTTTCAAATCCTACCGGTGGTTCGTCGAAGACCTTCCCAAGTTTGCGCAATATCCATCTTAATCCTTCTACAAAAATAAGTAGTATGCCAAATCCGTTGCTTGTCATCAATCTAAATTGGTGAAGGATACGCATAACATAATTCTTATTATTGTTTCGTCCAAGTGATCTAATTCCTTCTTTCCGGAGTTGTTCATCATATCACATTCTCGGTTCGAGGTGCTTCATCTTTTCTTTCTGGAGTTCCAAGTTTTCCGCTTAATCTTGTCGCAAAGATCCATCTAAATCATTATAAGGCTTCTCCCGGAGTTATTTTCAACTTTCCTTTCGTTTGATCATTCTTTTATTACTGGAGTTCTTCATGGATTTTCAAGATGGTGGTTCGTCAAGAATTCTTTTCATTCTCTAATTGTTCTTCAAGTTTTCTCTCGAAGTTATGATCCGCCAAGCTATACTCGAAAATAAACATGGTGCTCAACACATGGTTTGGATTGAAGAGTTCAAGCATTCTTCTTCTTGCATTTCGAAGTGCATTTCGTTCTACCTTATCATTTGAGGTGGTGTTATGTCATTCTTGAAAATTTGAGTTCGTGTTTCATGATTCACATGTTGTCAAGAATGAGATATTTTACATCCATCAATCTCTTCATTGGAGTTATATTGGGTTATATTTCACCTAAATGTTTCCCTAAGGATTGTTGCTATTTATGGTGCTCATAAATGACCAAGTTCTTCATTTTTCCTCCCGGTGAAATAAGTTTCTCGTCTCCTTGTTCATATCAACCCAATCTATTGTTTCCATTAGTGGCAGAATTTAACCTCTATTTCGAATAGTTTTCCATAAGCCCACTACAAGTTTATTCGTTTCATTGGTGGTTTTCCAGCAACTCTGTTATAACATTTCTTGGAAGCGTGCTCTCTCAAGATCTTGTTTCCCTCCGTTCATTTCATTCCATTCTTTCTTTCTTTCGAAGGCATTGTGATGTTTCTCTTTCTCTCATCATCTCGAATGGTGAGGATCGTTTTCTTTTCGTGCTTATCCATTTAATCAGAGTGTTTTTCAACTTTGTTCATCTTCGTTGTATTACTTCTTTCAAGTTGTTCAACCTTTCAAGGTTCTTTGGTTTCACTCATTTGTCAAAGAAGCAACTTAGTTTTACCTCTTGCTCTTCCTCTTCCGTTTTTTTCTCCGGTGCCATCCTAGATCTCGGGATGAGATCCTCTCGTAGTGGTGGAGTGTTGTGACGCTCCAAGACCGGAGATTCAGATGCCTTCCATGTTTTCCGAGTTTCGTCGTGTGAGTTGTTGGTTTGTTGCATTCATCATTGCATCATGTGCATTGCATCATGCATCTTCTCCATACCATTTTTGTGTTTGTTTAATTTAGTTGCTCATGTGCATTGCAACTTCTTTTCTTCTCTTGATCTTTCCATCAACCCCATGCTCACTTCCAACTTGGTTTCACCCAAGTTTCAAATCCCTATGCCACTTCTTTCTTTCCCTTTTCTCTATTTATTTGAGTTGCAAATAGAATTGCTCAAATAAATGTTCATCTTTTTCCTATAAATCATATTTTTTATGTAGGGTCATCCTATAAAATTTAAGCCCATTTGGATTCAGTTTGGCTAGGTTATAAATTCATGCAAGTTTGAATTAAATTCAAACATGTTCCTTTGTCTGCACTTTATTCTCTCTAAAATTCCTTTCACCATTTTATTTAAAGTCCTCATATTTTTATGAGTCCGGGAAAATTGTCCTCCTTCCCTATCACCTCTATTTATTTTATTCTCTCTAATTCTTTTTTTGCTAAAAAACTCAAGTGGGAGAAGAGCAAGCCCAACGAGGCCGGCCCATTCTTTTCCTCTCAGCCCACCAGGCTGGCGCTCCTCCTCCTTTAACCTAGCGCTAGGAGATCCCCATCCCCTCGATCCCCCTCGTCCTCCTCCCGAGCGCCGCCTTCGCTCGATCCTCCTCCTCTCGCTCGTCTCCTTTCCCCTCCTTCCACCTAGCGAAATCACTGCCCGAGCCGCAACCACGGCGCCCGACCTCCACCTCCTCGTTCCCATGCCCGCAACAGCAGAGCAGGAGCACCGGCGCCCGCCTTCCTCGCCTTGCCCGTGTCCTCCTCTGTACAGGATCCGGCCCTGATGCCTCATCCCCGACCTCCTGGTTCGGTTCCTCATCATTGTAGCCGCGCCAAGTCCTCTGCTTCGTACAAGATGTGGGCGCCTGTCTTCATCGCCCGAAATGGCCCCAGTCCGTCGAGCAGGGACGCCATGGCCGTCCTCTTCTTTAGATCAAGGCTCCGACAGTCGGTTCCGGTTCCCCTCAGCAACACTTCGAGCTTCGGCCGGTCTAGCCTCGCGCCTTCCCCGCCGTCCCTCACCAACGCCAAGCTCTGGCCATGCACCAAGCTTTTGTTGCAGCCACCGCTGCTCCTGTTCATCAAGAGTTGACGAGGCAGACAGCTCGCTCGCCTCCCCTGCTTCGTGCAGGTGGGCATCGCAGCCGCAGCCCAGCTGCCGCCCTCCTTTGCATCCTGTCGTGGCCACGAACCCTCCCCGTAATAGGAGCTCAGTCGTCTTCCGCATGGCCGTGGGTGTTTGGAGTCGTATGCCTCCTGCACACGTCGTGGTTTCCACCAAGTACCCCTTCATTTTGTCAAGACCCTCCAGCCCATCGACGACAAGTGCACGACTATGCGGATTGTGCCAAGTACCACGATGTTGAGACCCCTCAAGTTCGACTACACAAAAATGCCAAGTACCCCTACGCGTGAAGACGCCAAGACCATTTTGGGATTCAGCAAGTACCGCTACTTATGGCTTGAATGCCTTCGGAACTTGTACCACTACTGCCGCCCGAACATCTACGGAACGTGTACCACAACCATCACCGAAGACTTGTGAACGTCTATCGATGACCCTCAAGTTCGTCCTCGATTGCTATGTACCACTACCATCGACGTGAACCACTACTTCCACTACGACATGAGTACAACTACTACCACTACGAACATGGCGAGAACGTCTACTTCCTCTACTTTGCACTGAACTGATATGCTTCGAAACGCACGCTTCGAAGGTATAACCTCGAGATGACCGTCCAAGAACGTTTGCATGTGTTGTATGAGATGCACCCGTTGTCTGCACCATGTCCGGATTGATCCTTGCACGTTCATCGTTAGCCTTGTCGCGAACCTGTGGGACACCCGGAATCCGGGATCACCCCACCATCTTTTGCACGCTCCTGCCACACTTCCTTTGCACCGGTATCTCCATGAGCTACCGGATCCGATATGTTGCGTGGCATCATTTTCGGATTCGTTGCCGTGGCACCCCTTTCGTTTCCGCCACGATGACAAATGCTTCATAATATGTTCATGTCAACTTTTAATAAAAAATTGCTTAAACTTGCACATGTCATCTGCATCATGATAACAACATCAAGAATGTTTAAAATTGTTGTTTGCATTAAATTGCTAAATGCATATGGGGATTTATCGGAATTGTTGTTTGATGTTTCCGACCCCATTTAAATTGCTTAGATTGTTTAGTTTACTGTTGCTTCATCTCTTGCCATGTTTAACAACATTTAATAATGTTGGGTACCTAAACGAGATCGAACTAAATAACTTGAATGTGGTGTTCCGTCAATATGCAACTCGTTGCATATTGATCTCCTCTTAATTTGTAGTATTGCTTGTGCACTTTACCATGCCATGCCTTTTTAAATCGGACATGCATCATACTTGTTTGCGCATCATGCCATGCTTATGTGATGGTTGTTTACCATGTTGTTTGCTTCTTTTCGGTGTTGCTCCTTCGGGTTAGTTCCGATAACGTCGCATTTGTGAGGATTTGTTCAACTACGTCTGTTTGTCTTCTTCATGGACTCGTTCTTCTTCCTTGCGGGATCTCAGGAAAGATGACCATACCCTCGAAATCACTTCTATCTTTGCTTGCTAGTTGCTCGATCTATTGCTATGTCGCGAAACCTACCACTTGCTATATCATGCCTCCCATATTTCCATGCCAAGCCTCTAACTCACCTTCCTAGCAAACCATTGTTTGGCTATGTTACCACTTTGCTCAGCCCCTCTTATAGTGTTGCTAGTTGCAGGTGAAGTTGAAGTTTGTTCCATGTTGGAACATGGATATGTTGGGATATCACAATATCTCTTATTTAATTTAATGAATCTATATACTTGGCAAAGGGTGGAAGGCTCGGCCTTATAATTGGTGTTTTGTTCCACTCTTTCCGCCCTAGTTTCCGTCATACTGGTGTTATGTTCCTTGATTTTGCGTTCCTTACACGGTTGGCTGTTATGGGGACCCCTTAACAGTTCGCTTTGAATAAAACTCCTCCAGCAAGGCCCAACCTTGGTTTTACCATTTGCCTCACCACCACCTACTTTTTCCCTTGGGAGTCGCTCTCTCAAGGGTCATCTTTATTTTAGCCCCCCGGGCCAGTGCTTGTCTAAATGTTGGTCCGAACCGAGCTGCCTACGCGGCCACCTCGGGGAAACTTGAGGTTTGGGTTTACTCGTAGCTAGTCTGGTGTTGCCTTGAGAACGAGATACGTGCGACACCTATCGAGATTGTCAGCACATCGGGTGGCTTTACTGGTTTTGTTTTACCATTGTCAAAATGCCACCGGGATTCCGAGTCTGATCGGGTCTTCCTGGGAGAAGGAATATCCTTCGTTGACCGTGAGAGCTTGTGATGGGCTAAGTTGGGACACCTCTGCATGGTTTTGAACTTTCGAAAGTCGTGCCCGTGGTTATGGGCAGATGGGAATTTGTTAATATCCGTTTGTAGAGAACTCGACACTTGACTTAACTAAAATGCATCAACCGCATGTGTAGGCATGATGGTCTCTTTCCGGCGGAGTCCGGGAAGTGAACACGTTCCTTGTGTTATGCTTGAACGTAAGTGGTTTCAGGATCACTTCTTGATCACTTCTAGTTCACGACCATGCTTTGCTTCTCTTCTCACTCTTATTTGCGTATGTTAGCCACCATAGATGCTTAGTGCTTGCTGCAGCTCCACCTTATTACCCTTTCCTACACATAAGCTTAAATAGTCTTCATCTCATGGGTGTGAGATTGCTGAGTCCTCGTGACTCATAGATACTTCCAAATAGTTGCAGGTGCTGATGATACCAGTGCAGATTACGCAACTAAGCTGAAGTGGGAGCTCGATGAAGATCGTGTTCGTTGTGTTGTTTTGTTTCCAGTTAATCCGTAGTGGAGCCCAGTTGGGACGATCGGGGATCTAGCATTTGGGGTTGTCTTTCTTTTATTTTGATTCCATAGTCGGACCTTGATTGTATTCTGGATGATGTATGATGTTTATGTATTGTTTGAAGTAGCGATTTTAAGCCAACTCTGTATCCCTTTCTTATTCAGTACATGGGATGGGTAAAGATTACCCCTCTTGCGACATGCCTACCATGCGGTTATGCCTCTAAGTCGTGCTCCGACACGTGGGAAATATAACCGCATCGTGGGTGTTACACCTATCAAGAAGATCGCCGACTTCCAACCATACTCAAAGCTCATCGAGCTCGTGCATCAAGCTACAAAAGCAGAACGTCAAGTGCGAGACGATTTCAAGTATGCCAAGTTCTCATCCAAGTCCTACGGCTTCTCCAACAAACAAGCTTCAACGACTCCAATACTGTCTACCGAGCCTTCTGCGAGTAACGTCGACAAGTTGAGTTCCAAGAAAGCTTCATCAACTCCAAGTCATCCTCCTACTACAAGCAACTTCAAGCTGAGAGCTTCATCATCATCCACTCCAATCGATGAGACCGTCAAGAAGAGTTCATTCAAATGCTTCACATGTGGAGGCCGAGGCCACAAGTCCTATGAGTGCACCAACAAGCGGACCATGATCCTCAACGAAGACGACACCTATGACTCGATGAGTGAAGGAGAAATGGACGCTCTTGAGCAAGTCGCCATGCACCGGCAAGTGAATGATGGAGAAGAACATGTCTTTTGTGACAAAGATTCAAGTCCCGCTCTTGTTGTCTCCAAGGTCTTGACTCTCCAACATCACCAAGAAGAAGACCAAAGATGCCACTATCCAAGCCGAGCATCGAGTACAAGTCTACTTCAAAATTGGCACCTACGAAGACACTCTGGAGTGCGACGTCGTTCCAATGACAGTTTGCCACCTTCTCCTAGGACGCCCATGGCAATTTGATAGAGGAGTACTCCACAATGGCCGAACGAATCACTACATCTTAAAGATGAAAGGAAAGGAGTACGTACTTCGTCCCATGTTTCCAAGCCAAGTGATCTACGACAAGCAAGACACCCATCATGGAGAGCATAGTGAGAGAGCGAGCCACCAAAAAGAGAGTGAGCGCCACAAGCCCAAATCGAGCGCCTCCATGATGTGCGAAAAGAAAAACTTGGTCCTATTTGCCACCAAAAGTGAGATAAGAGGAGTGTGTGAGAACCCGTCTAGTTTCCTACACTACGTCCTCTTGTGCAAGGATGTAGCGACCAGATCTCAAACAGCCTGATCTCTATGCTCAGGTGTCATCCCTGGATCAGTAATGCTGACACCACACAGTACTTGAAGGATTTATAACAGAGTAGCAACCACACACTTATTACATCGAGTGTCTCAATAGATAACTTATTACAATAAATATGGCTTAAGGCCATCTAATCACGATAACATCGGAAGGCTTGGAAGATAAGTGAGTCCATCAACTCCAACGGCCTCACTAAGTATAGAACCACGACCTAAAAACTCCTTAATCGTCGTCTGAAAAGTCTGCAACATTAACGTTGCAGCCCGAAACAGGTCAGCACATGGAATATGCTGGCAAAGTAACACATAGAGAGTAATGGAATGAAACAGCTATACTATATGCATATTTGGCTGGTGGAAAGCTCTATGGTTACAGTTTTGCGTAAAGCCAATTTTTCCCTACTGCAAAGGAATAAATTTTATTTAACTATCATGGTAGTTGTTAAACATTGAGAATGGTTGTCAGCATTCTCAATCCCAATTAAGCATCATCACTAAACAGAACCCAACAAAATTAATTTAGAGTAACATGTTGAGATTCACATGATAATCCAAGTACTAGATACTCAAGCTGTCCATAACCGGGGACATGGCTAACCATGATTAGTTTATACACTCTGCAGAGGTTTGCGCACTTTTCCCCACAAGACTCGATCGCCTCCGTTTGGTTTCTCGCACTACATGGTGTTTGAGAAGACGGATGACCGAGACATAGTCTTTCAGAAGCACTAGCACCTTACGATGGATACACCGTTACACCTACTTTCCCCTACATCTGCTAGTCTACCCTGTAAGAGTTCGCACGACTTAATCAACTATGCTAGAGCCCATAATAGCTTGTGAATGCACACGGAAGTTTCTAGTATGAAAAATCTCATGATCCCTTTGGGCCTGGGTGGCGGTCCATAAAGAAAAAGAGGCAATCCTGGAATACCCAGGTACCTCAATCCACCCAGATGTGTATTTAAGTTGCCACCTTAGATAAACCATTAATTAACAAACTCACATATGTCATGGATATCACTCACCCAATCCACGTTTACTAACATAGCATGCCATAATAGGCAAACGTAGAAGTAACTCCCATAGGTTTGATAATATATCAGGTAATAGGTACTACGTCAACTACTTCCCATCCCATAATTTAATTAGATCCTAATCATGCAATGTTTGAGGATTGATCTAATGCAATAAAACTAGGTAGTAGGAGGTATGATCAAAGTGTTACTTGCCTTCCTGATGATCCGCGAAACCTAGAGATTCGAAGTAACAAGCGGCGCACTCCGAGTATTCTATCGCAGATAAACAAACAAGCATACAACAAGTATTCATCTAATGCACAGGTAAAACTCAAATAAGAGATCTAACCAGAAAGTTCAATTTAAGAACTCCTGTTTGCAAAAAGAATCAAATCAAACGAAGCAACGAAAGTCAAATGGCAAAAGAAACAGGCTTCATTTACTATTATGGATCTAGGGCAATTTTTATAGTGGAAAAAACCTTTTTAAGTTGGTTAAACAGTTAGAGGGTTTCGATATGAAACTCCAGGCGCTTGAATCGCCTGATTCCGATAACCGAGCGAAAAGTTATACTAAAACGAAAATCGGATCAGGAATCGCGATCAGAAAAATCGCGGATTTAATCCGTGAAAAAAGAAAAACGACGAACGTTCACTAGAACGAACGAACGGACGAACGCTCGCTAAATAAATAAATCGGAAAAACCGATCTATTTAAAAAAACCAAAACTAAAAAAAACGTTATT